TCAGTGGGGTAGGTCCTTTAGTGCCGGGTGGGTCAGTGGGGTAGGTCGTAGAGTCATAGAGATATACAGCACTGAAACAGACCCTTTGGTCCAACTCATCCATGCTGACCAGATATCCTAAATTAATGTAATCCCATTTGCCAGCATTTGGCCGAATTATCTCTTAGCCCTTCCTATTCATATATCCATGCAGATACCTCTTCAATGTTCTAATTGTACCAGCCTCTACCACTGCCTCTGGCAGCTCATTTCATACACACACCACCCTCTGTGTGAAAAAGTTGCCCCTTAGGTCTCTTTTAAAGCTTTCCCCTCTCACCTTAAGCCTGTGCCCAACCTGGAGAAAAGACCCTGCCTATTTACCCTTTCCATGCCTGTCATGAATTTATAAACCTTTATAAGGTCACCCGTCAGTTTCCAACACTCCAGGGAAAATAGCCCCAATCTATTCAGCCTCTGTCTATATTTCAAACCCTCCAACATCCTTGTAAATCTTTACTAAACCCTTTCTATTTTCACATCATCCTTCCAATAGCAGGGAGACCAGAATTGCACACAGTATTCCAATAGTGGCCTAACCAATATCCTGTACAGCTGCAACATGACCTCCCAACTGCTGTACTTTATATTAGACTTTTTTTTACAAAGGGGATACAACCTGTCCACATGCACCCCAAGATTCGTATATGCTTCAATAAGGTCACCTCTCATTCTTCTAAACTCCAGAATACAAATCAAACCTACTCAATGTTTCCTTATTAAAAAAAATCCCTCCATACCCAGGATTAACCAAGTGAACCTTCGCTGAACTGCATCCAATGCAAGTTAATCTCTTGGAGACAGTAAGGACTACAGATGCTCGAAGCTACAGTCAATAAACGTGGAGCTGGAAAAGCACATCAGGTCAGACAGCATCCGAGCAGCGGGAAAGTCAAAGTTTCGGGCCGAAACCCTTCATCAGGATAGACTTTTCTGCTCCTTGGATACTGTCTGACCTGCCAAGTTAATTCCTCCTTGGATAAGGGGATCAAAACTATTCACAGTATTTCAGCTATGGTCTGACCAGTACCTTGTTTTGTCTTAGTAAAACCTCCCTAATTTTATACTCCATTCCATTTGCCTTCCCTATTACCCACTAAACTTGGATATTAGATTTTTATGATTCATGCACTCCAAGTTCCTGTGAGAGCTCTCAACATTGACTTTGGACCCCATGAAGGATGGTGGTATCAATTCAAACATGGGCATAGAAACGTCCTCCTGCTATAACCTATCACCGCTCCCCGAGACCTAACTTCCCTCAGTTGAAGAGGCTATGCCTTCATGTTGACCATTACCTGGAGGAAGTGCTGAGAGTGGCAAAGGAGCAGAATGTACTTTGGGTGAGGGACTTCAATGTCCAACATTAAAAGTTGCATGGGAGCACCATTACTGAGCTAGCTGAATCTTAAAGGAGATAACTGCTCAACTAGTCTTTAGTAAGCGGTGAGGGAAAGAGAGAGAAAAATATAATCAACCCCATCCTCACCAATCTACCTGTTATGATATAATTATTGGTGGTGCTTAAGGCGCTCCTCAATATTAAACTTTTCAGGCCCATACCCCGGATAAAACATTCCAACTACAGCCTAATCAGTGACTTATAAAAGGTATAACAGGGCTATATAAAATATAAAAGATAAAGCCCCACACATGTTACCACGAAAGACTCTCCCTCTCATCTCCCTCCTCATCTGAGGCACGGTGACCCTCAGGTTAAACCGTGACCACCCATCTCTCTCTAACGGTATCTAATGGTCTGGTAGGACTATGGCAACTTTACTTATAGGATATAGTAAGTCACCATTGTTCCAGATGACCATAAGGCTGCCATCTCATAAGAGAAACAGCCGGTGGTTGGAGATCAGCATGCCTCAGCTAAGGGGAGAGGCTGAGGAGGAAAATCCCCCTACCCGCTAAACCTCAGCTGGTGCAGGAATTGAATCCATGCTGTGGACATCACTCTGCATTGCAGATCAGTCATCCAGGCTAACTAGCCCTCATTATATCAGATATTCAGCACAGAAACAGACCAGTGAGCCCAAAGAGATTATGCCTGCATTCATTCTCCACTTGCACTCCCTGCATTGCCATCAACATACTTTACTGCCTCATCTAGCTTCCCCTTAAATGCATTTACTCTACACTATTCACTTCATATGGCAAAAGGTTTCACATTCTTCCTATTCTGTAAGAGGTTTCTTCTGAACTCCCTATTTGGTTAGAACTTTCAAAATTGACTGCCTCTAGTTTTGCTCTTCCTGACATGGAAATATTCCCCCTGTATTTATTCCACAAAAATTATATAATTTGAAAGACTTCCATTAGTTGCCAGCTTTAGTTCAGGAGGATTAGGTGCCCTAGGCAAACCTTCAGCCATGTTCCCTACACCAATGATGCAGCATGACCTCTTAACTTACCAAGGTGATTTGTGTGAGCAAACAAGCTCCAGCCCCACAGGAAAATGTGGTCTAGGAGATTAATAGGTATATGCCAAACTACATCATTAACCCTGTAAAATCACACATTGGGACCTGCTGGACCATGTTTCCGTGCCTTGTGTATAAAGTTAATAATATGCTTGCTTGTAGAAATGTCCCTACCCCTGGGTCAGGAGGCCAGGTTCATGTCCCACCTGCTGCAGAAGTGTATCATAGCATCTCTGAACAGGTTGATTAGAAAATTTGGTGCATGGTTAACACATGTTCATCAGTCTGCACTGGCACTTGTCTGGTTGACTGTCCACAGCTCCTTGAATCTGGTTCTAATGTTTATAGAGGAGGGGGAAGGAGTAAACAATAGGTGGAGATGGAGCCCGGAGAGAAAGAGAAAAACAGCCAATGAGACTATTGCTAAATCTTGAGTTCTGCAGACAAAACCTGGGAGAATACTGGGTAGAAGTGGTAGTGTCTTCCTTTCAGATCACACCTCCTCCCCCTCTCCCCACAGACTTTTAGAATGGTCTTCACTGTTGTTCTCCCCCTAATGTTCTCAGCCCCGAAACCCCTCACCAGGCATATCAGACAGCTGATAAAAGTCCGCACTCCCATGGCAGGGTGAATAGGTTAGAAAGCTGGTCGAAGGAAACACATACAAATGGTTGTGGAACAAGATAGACAGACAGCATAATGTTGTGTTCAGGTTTAGAATCACTTCAAACTGATCAAACTTTTAAGATAAAATTATAAATAACAACAATACCTTAGTAAATAATATACACTCCAGAAGGCAGCAGGAAGTGTATTTGCCTGTGAAGCCCATAGCATTGTGATATGAGTCTTCCCTTTGCTAAGATCATCAAGTGCAGGTGAACGATCAAAAAGTGCCATTCTTTCCTCTATAAGGCTAGATTTATTGTCATTCTGTCTTAGGTTTTTGTGCAGTAATGCTTGTGCTAGAGCCATTCTTGATCGCTTGGCAACTTTCAAAAATAAAATTGGAATACCAGCAGCCAGAAGAGGAAATACATTGTCAAACACCTTAAAGTTCTCCATGATAGACTGAATGGCAGTATGCTGAGCCTTTATCTTTTCAATCTTATTATGTTTCATTTCTTTTTCACTTTTTCCAAAGAGTGTTAAATACCCAGCTTCAAACATTATCCTGTATGAAAATGCATAAAGGCTTTCAGTGGTCCAGTTTCTAGAATCTGACTCTTTCTTGTCTTGTAACATCACAAACTGGAGGTTTTCCATCATGCTTGAGATCAGAGGGTCCAAAGAGATTCCCTGCAGGGTCTTGTTGAAGATTTGATGAATCTCGTCATAGCTTACGCCATATTTAGCATCGGTAAAATCTGCATGACCAAATACCTGTGGAAGGTAAATTGGAACATTCTTTTCATTATAGTACATGAAAATTAAATTAAATCAATTCTTTGTTTATGATAGATCACAAAGAATTGCACATATCATAATATAAAGAAAAACAACACTTTGCAGATAATAAATACAGACTAGTTACTTTCTATACCACAATTTATAAATGAAAGCTGTCTTTTACACACAGATAATTATTATTTTGTGCTGCAGGCATTCAGGAAAGAATAGATAAAATGTCTCTTCTGACCTTCTTTGCCACAAAATTTGAACTCCTTTTCTTCTGATGAAAAGTTCACTAAATGTTAAATTAATAAAGAATTCAAAAGATTTCTTCTAACTGAGAGCAATTTGGTTCACTAGTTTTAAATACTAATAGCAGCAAGGATGGAGATCTCAGGAGTCCATTGACTAAACTAAAACTATGCTCAGAAACAGGATTCTTTCATTTAGTAGAAAACTGAAATCAATTTGCAAAGTGAAGAGCTGGTGACTTGTAAGAAAAAGGGTCATTTATCAGCAATGGGAGACAAACAACATGCTTATAGATGTGAAATTGTTGAAGGCTTCTGAAGCCAGAATGAGCTTAGCAAACTCAAAGCATTTTTTTTCAAAGAAAATTTCAAAGGCAATACGCATTGAGTCAAAGGTTGGTCACTGATGGGGCAGTGAAAGAAATGAGAACAGGTAGTAATCCAGTGTCAGGTTAGGAAATATGAATGGAGAAATTCACTGAGATAAAGTGCAGCAAATCTATGGAAAGAATTAAAGATAATATCTTAATATCAATTGTCTGATAGAGGAGAGATTTTCATTGTCATTGCCTGAGTGATAATCTAACTGGGTCAGTAGTCTGCTCTTTATTTAATGCATTTCATTTTCATGCCAGAAATCTACCCATTATTGTTTTTAGAAATTAGTTCCATAGAACCTCAACAAACTCCTTCAGAGATAGTAGGAACTGCCGATGCTGGACCCTTGAAGGGTCCAGACCTGAAATGTCAGCTTTCCTGCTCCTCTGATGCTGCCTGGTCTGCTGTGTTCATCCAGCTCTACACCTTGTATTCTTCAACAAACTCCTGATTGCTTGCGGGGCTGTTCCTGTTGTAAACCTGTATAAATGCTAGCAAAGCTGATCCAGAATTCACCTCTTTTATTGTCTTTTGTAGCAGTACATTGACCTTCTTTGGATCACTTGGTAAAGCATTACACATCCATCTCAACAAGTCTTTCTAATTTCTGTCTTCTAAATTCACTCTTTGCCAGCATTACTTTTCTCAGTTACGAGGACAAGTGCCCACTTACTTTAAACCACGTATAAGTCAACTTACTACTTTTGTCAACAACACAGTGAAGGTCCTATCCATTTTTTTCTTTGCCTTTGCAATTTGGACCTCTCTATCTCAACGTTGAAATAGAGGGATAACCTGATAAGTTGACAAGCAGTCTGTGTTCCCATTCCAATGTCTTCTCTTTGAAACAATCCATATATTTTGACATCTTTGGCAGTTCATGTCTTCAAACAGATACAACTTATGTAATTCGTCATAATCCTTGGTCAACAGAAAATGGGAACCATGTTTTATGGACTTCTTCCCTTTTCTAGTCTGCAGTATCCTATCAACCAGCATGAGAAATGATAAAAATAATAAAACTGTTCTTCCTCATTCTGGCTTCAGAAGCCTTCAACAATTTCACATCTATAAGCATGTTGTTTGTCTCCCATTGCTGATAAATGACCCTTTTTCTTACAAGTCACCATCTCTTCGCTTTGCAAATTGATTTCAGTTTTCTACTAAATGAAAGAATCCTGTTTCTGAGCATAGTTTTAGTTTAGTCAATGGACTCCTGAGATCTCCATCCTCATGGCTATCCTGCTGTCTTGGGGAAAAACAGTTTTTAAAAGTAATACTTAGTAATGAGCATACTGGTCCTTCATTTTAAAGTTGTACAAGCCAAACCAGACCAGTGTGCCTCATTCATCAGTGTTACTGTTTTCTCCTTCTGGGCTATTTTCACTTCATCCCTTAATATAAGAACAGTTTTATTATTTTTATCATTTCTCATGCTGGTTGATAGGATACTGCAGACTAGAAAAGGGAAGAAGTCCATAAAACATGGTTCCCATTTTCAGTTGATCAAGAGATTGACAGAGGAAATGAATGATAACTTTGGTAAATTGTGCTTAGGCACAATCTGCAAGACCTTAGCCTTGAGAATCTATTAGAATGACTAATTTAGTTAATCTTCAAATTCAGTGAAGACAAAAAACTGACAAAGCTAATGAACAGAAAAACCATGTTTCATGTATAACAGATGGCTGATCTGATTCCATAACATTATCACTCCTGCTGATGTAGAAAATTACTTTCAGGGAATCATTCAATTTTATCCCAATAACTTTCCTAGGAAGAAGTTACAGCCCAACATTGGGGCAATTTGTTGAATTAATGTTCCTCTTATAGAATAATTTAGTTTTACAGAATAGAATAAAGCAAGAAAATTATGCTTCATGCTACTTCTTTCCTTTGTAATTGGCTCCACCACCTCCTTTCGTACATACTCACCCTTGCTATAATAATGTTTTGTGAAAAGACAATGTTCATTTCTAATTGGATTGTAGTCTTGTTCAGATAGAATTAGCACTTAAGGTCATAAGTTTTAGGAGCACAATCAGGCCATTTGGCCCATCATGTCTGCTCTGCCATTCAATCATGGCTGATATGTTTCTCAACCCCATTCTCCTGCCTTCTCCCCATAACCCTTGATCCCCTTACTAGTCAAGAACCTATCTATCTCTGTCTTAAATACACTCAGTGACTTGGCCAGAATAACCATCAATAGCAATGAGTTCCACAGATTAACCACCCTCTGGCTGAAGAACTTCCTCCTTATTTCAGTCTAAAGGGTCATCCCTTCATTCTGAAGCCATGCCCTCAGGTCCTAGTCTCTCCTACTAGTGGAAACATCTTCTCTATATCCACTTTACCCAGGCATCTCAGTATTTTGTAAGTTTTAATCAGATCACTCCCTCATCCTTCTAAACTCCATCGAGTACAGACCTAGAGCCCTCGACCACTCCTCATATGACAGGTTCTTCATGCCCTAGGATGTTGAGACTAGCTATGTTTAATCCTGTATTGGTACCTGTTTTGAATAACAAGTACTACTTTGTGACAGAGTTATCATCTGCAGAGCAAAGTCACTTCAAAATGGCAACCATTCTGTGGTATTGCTACAATAGTCAAGGTGTTGTGCTGTAAACGCTTGGGTAACTGCTGCCTGATACTCAGGATGGACACTGAGTATTTGTTTTATTCATTCACAGGATGTGGGAGAACATCACTAGCGAAGCCAGTATTTATTGCCCCTTTTCAAATTGCCCTTGAGAAATTGATGACGATCCAATGCTTGTTACAATTCACATTTGAAGACCATCAGGTTTGAATCCAAAAGCCCATTCCCATATTTTGGCTCTGCATGGGCTGATGTACTGGCCTGATCTTACTGATAGAAATTGACTTTGTTTCTGTTTCCCCAGATACTGGTGCTGCAGAAAGGCATTGGTATAGTGGTAATGTCACTGAACAACAATCCAGAGGCACAGATGCTCCCTGACCAGTTGAGTTGACTAGCACTTTCTGTTTTAATTTCAGATCTCCAGCAGTAACTTTGTTTTTATAATAATCCAGAGCTCAGGCTATTGGTCTGGGAATGTAAGCTTAAATCCCACCATTGCAACTAATGGAATTTAAAATCAATTATTAAGTCTGGAATATAATGGTTAAAATAACAATTATCATTGATTGTTGGAAAAATTAAATTTCTTCACTAGACTCCTTTAGAGAAGGGAATTTGCCATTCTTACCTGGCCGAGATCCACAGCATTGTGGTTGAATCTTAACTACCCTCTGAAATAGCCAAGAAAGCCATTTACTTCAAGGGTAATTAAGGATGGGTAACAAATGCTGTCCTTGCTGGGGATGGCCACATCCATGAAAACAAAAAATTAAAGAAAATATTTGTAGTATTTTTGTTTTTGTTTATCATACAGGCTCAGGAGTGTTTTTGACTCACGATTGACTAACTTTAAGAAGTGTGTCATAGTATAGTTAAGCATTTTTTTTAAAAAAAGGTCTGACGTTTAACCCAGAAGTGTGTATCATTTCAATTACATTTAAAGTCAACTGGCAGCTTAATGTGCCAGGGTACAGGTGCTTTAGGTGAGACAGAAGTGGAGGAAAGAGGGAAGGGGGAGTTGCATTTTCAATTAAGGGGAGTATCACAGCAGTAGTCAGAGATGAAATAACTGAGGGATCATCCAGTGAGGCTTTGTGGGAGGAACTAAGAAATAAGAAGGGGATGGTGAGATTATTGGGGTTGTACTATAGGCCTCTAAATAGTTAACAGGAATTAGAGGAACAAATATGCAGGGAGATTAGGGAGACTTGCAGGAGCAATAGCGTTGTCATAGTGGGGGATTTTAATTTTCCTAACATAGACTGGGACTGCCATAGTGTTAATGGGGTGGAATCGGCTTAGATGGGGTGGAATTTGGTAAATGTGTTCAGGAAAGTATCCTCAAGCAGTACATAGAGGGTCCTACTCTGAAAGGGGCAAAACTCGATCTACTGTTTGGAAATAGGGCAGGACAGGTGACTGACGTGACAGTGGGGGAGCACTTTGGGACTAGTGACCATAGTTCTATTAATTGCAAAATAGTTATGGAGAAGGACAAAACTGGTCCACAGACTCAAGTTCTAAATTGGGGCAAGGTGAATGTTGATGGAATTAGACATGAATTTGCAGGGGTTGATTGGAGTATTTGTTTGCAGGCAAAGGGACCTCTGGCAAATTGGCGGCTTTAAAAGTATGATAGCTAGAGCTTATATGTTCCTGAGAGGTGAAGGGCAAGGTTGGCAGGAGTAGAGAACCCAGGGTGACAAGAGATATTGAGGCTTTGACCAGAAAAAGGAAGGAGGCATGGCTCAGGT